AGGCTCACCGAGGAGATGCTGGTGTGGTTGGCCATCATGAGCCCGCTGACCCTATGGGCAGAAGGCAAGTAGGGCGACTTCCTGGACAGGGCCACCTGGATGCTGGCTGGGCCCCAGGGGATGAAGTTGGCCAATTTCCGTTCCCGGATCCTCTGCAGGCTCTTGTGGACCTGGGATGGGCACAGGAGTGGTGGTGGTAGCCTCTCCTCTACCCCTGTGGGCTCCGGGGGTAGAACGGAGGGGCCTCACCTACCTGGGTGGGGTCCACCTCCCCCTGGATGATGTTGAGGATGGCGATGTAGCAGTGGTTGGTCTGGCGGTCCCGGCCTGTGGACACCATCACGTTCTTGGGCTGCAGTAGCCGCCTCATGACATCCAGGACCGTGGTCTTCCTCACGCTGGCCACCTGAGGGGAGAGTGGCCACAGGGACCAGGCCAGCACTCAGGGCACAGTCCAGAGATGCACGGACAGAGAGGAGCAGCAACACATGTCCCCATCGGACTTGGGGTAGTTTGGGCTCTGTGGGGAGTGTCCTCACATTTAGGTTCACACTGAGCCTCTGCTGTGGGATCAGGCATCTCAGCCCTCCTCGCTCAGCAAACTCACGCCCTTGTGCGGGAGCCTATGCAGACCCCGTACAGCCCAGGCCCCGCAGGGAGCCACAGGCAGAGGGAAGAGGAGAGCAAGGCAGCCAGACAGTCGCCCAGTCTGTGCCAGACCCTGAGCGCAGGGCCTCTGGGGGCCACAAAGGCGGCTCCAGGTGCAGCAGGGAGAAGAGAAAGGCTCCTCAGGGCCTGCTGGGCCCGAGGGCTGCTCTTACCGACTGGTCCGTGGTGAGGGGGGTGTAGCCGGTCATGAGGAAGTGGAGCCGTGGTGTGGGAATGAGCGAGGCGATGAGGCCGATGAGGTCATTGTTCATGTAGCCAGGGTAGCGCAGGGTGGTGGTGCTGGCCGACATGATGGTGGACACCTGGGGACAGGGGTGCCGTGTCATGGGTCTTGCCCAGGGGTCGGGGTGCCTCCCTTCCCCAGA